TTTCTCCTCGGGGATACCAAAAAAAAAACAGCTGTTTATCTCCGCGAACCTTCCGAATCCCTCAACGAAACTAAAACAGAAAACTTACAGCCGGTGTTCTCCCCGAATCCTTTTTATATCGTCGCCGACTGTATCTGTCGTCAGGTTTAAGGCAGTCGGTCATCAACCTTTTGTTTAAAACTCTACTGTTTTTGTGGTGGGCTAGATTTGTAGGAGAGGAAAAACCTGGTGTGTTCTCTCTCTTTTCCCCCCCCCCCCCCCAAATAAACTGGAAGTTTGACTGCTTTTCTTGAACCTGTGGCTTTCATACTTTCCTCGATCCACCTTTCCGTCAGCCCTCCTTCATAGTACCTTGAAACCTCTTGGCCTCAGGTATTACTTTCATCAGTTTGGATTTTCCCCATTCAACAATCGACCGTGCAACCTGGAAGTATTCATTGTGTGAGACACCTTTGAAACGTTACCACCTGCTGTAAGCACCGTAGAAATGCAATATATTTAGTTTGCACTCGGTGGTATTTCTGCTTGGCAAGATTTATGTAACCCAACTGTCCGTATTCAGAAAAGCTTTTAGTTTGCCCTTGAAAGCACTGGATTATTCTGCTGCAGTTATCGTTAGTAATGTGTAGTCAGTTAAAACGTACTCCGAAGCCACAAATACCGATCAACAGTTGTAGACAATTGCGACATATCTCTTTGATGCACTTTTAATTTTGTTGTCTCCAGCTGACTTGATAAGGCATGAGTTGCAACATGAAGTGGGCATTCATCACTGCTCTTGTAATAAGTTTATATTTAATTGCTGTATTCTCCTTTCGTAAATTATTTTCCCAGTCCGCCCAATGGCTAATCTCAATATGAGGTTGCCCTTTTCCCCGGTCCCTAGCAAAACTAAATCTGCAGGTGGGTGCTCGGAAGCATTCCAGCGTGAGTTGGTTCAAGTGCCTTCTGCTTTTCAGTTTGTCTTGATTTTCATACTAAGTGCAGTTTACATTAGTAGGTGAGGAAGCAGTGTCTTGCTACAATGTTTTCCTATTAATGCTGTTTAAGAACTATTATCAATTAAATGTTTCCTAACAATAAAAGCTGGAACAGGATACTGGAAGACAACTTTTTAAATTTGAAGCTTCCACAACTCTAAAATTTAGAGGCCAAAGATTGTTGTATTTTGCTGCTCTATTCTTTGCCTGTTGGTTTTCTGCTAATCACAATCGGAGATCCACATTTGATATTATAATCCACAATTGCAGTAAGCTAGTCCTTAGAATTGGTCTTGTCGTTTGTTTCACTGTCTTCATATTGGATTGAGTTTCAGAGAAAGAGATGGCAGTCTGAGGCAAAAAATGAATTCCATCATGGAGTAAGTAACTGAGTAGTACGAGTCTTGCATATGGCTAGTTAAGTTCAGGTGCTTCTGCATGGAATGAGTTTGAGAGGTATTGCCCAATTTAATATTTCAAGGGTATGTATAGACAGAAATGTACCATTCTTGGTGTTCTGGCAGTGGGTGGTGCCCAGGCTCGGCTCAACACTACACTCCCTGAACAACTAGGGACTGGATGCAAAAAGTAGCATATTTCTGCAAGCTGACGAGGTAAGGATGATAGAACCAAGTACTGCCTAGATAATCCTCCCAAGATTGATATTTCCTCTGCTGATCCTTAGGCATATTCATGCTATAGTAGGGCAGCCATTCCAGATGCAACATGCAATTAAAATCTTATCAAATTCATACCTCAAGTCTTATGAAGACTGCTACCAAGTTATTTAGCTGGTGTGCCTGTACTCATTAAGTAGCAACACCTCAATTTAAACAAATAGTATTCTGTTCTTTCGTTCTCCTTTCCAAAATGAACAACTTCACAATTGCCATTTGCCAATGCTTTGCCCACCTAATTAACATATCAATATTTCCCCGTAACCTGTTTGCCCCTCTCTCGCAACCTGCCTTCCCACCTATTTTTGTCATTTGCAAATTTTGTTATGCACATCTGTTTCCAAGTCATTAATATATTTTATTTGATTCAATTCATTATTAGCATACATACTGAGATACAGTGAAAAGTGTTGTCTTTCGTGCTTTACAGGAAAGTGCATCAGGGTAACAGAATAGAGTGCAGGATACAGTGTTACAGCTGCAGAGAAGGTAAAGAGAGAGATCAGCATTAATATTAAAGAGGTCCATTCAAAAGTCTGATAAGTATTGTAAACAGTTACGTTACCAGCAGTGATTTCTGTGGAACCTCGGTGGTCACGGGTTGCCAACCTGAAAAAGAATCCCTTATCCCCACTCACTGTTTCCTGCCCATGAGCCAAGTCTCTATCCATGCCAACATGCTACCCCCAACACTGAAGTCTCCTATTGAGTCATACAGCATGGACACAGACCCTTCAGTCCAACCTGTCCATGCTGACAATAATCCCAAACTAAACTAGTCCCACCTGCCTGCGCATGGCCCATATCCCTCTAAACATTTCTAATTCATGTTCTTATCCAAATGTCTTTTAAATGTTTTAACTGTACCTGCATCTACCGCTTCCTCTGGAAGATCATTCCACATACGAACCTCTGTGTAAAAACAAAAAGCTGCCCCTCATGTCTTTTTTTTTTTTAAATCATTCTCCTGTCACCTTAAAAATATGCACCCTAGTCTTGAAATTCCCCAACTTTTCTATAAGATCACCTCTCAACCTCCTGTGCTCCAGTGGAAAAAATCCCAGCCTCTCCTTTATAACTCATGCCCTCCATCCCTGGCAATGTCCTGGTAAATCTTTTGAGTCTTCTCCAGCTTAATATCCTTCCTGAAACAGGATGACCAGAATGGGACACAGCACTCTAGAAGAGGCCTCATCAATGTCCTGTACCACCTCAACATAACGTCCCAAATTCTATTCTTAAAGGTCTGAGCAATGAAGGCAAGTGTGCTAACTGCCTTCTTAGCCACCCTGTCTATATGAGACAAACTTCAAAGAATTATGTAATTGAACCCCTGGTCTCTATGTTCTACAACACTACCCAAAAGCCTACCATTAATTATATAAGTCTTGCCTTTGTTTGTTTTACCAAAATGTAATACCTCGCATTTATCTGAATTAAATTCCATCTGTCAATTCCATCGACCCAGTTGATCAAGAACTCTTTGTAATCTTAGATAATCTTCTTCACTATCCACAATACCACAATTTTTGATGTCATCTGCAGACTTGCTAACCATCCCTTCTATATTCTTATCTAGATCATTTTACATTTAATGACAAACAAAGTGGACCCAGCACCAATCCCAGTGTAACACTGCTTGTAACAGGCCTCCAGTCCAATAAACAAATCTCTACCACTGCTCTGTCTCCTGCTGTTGAGCCAGTTTTGTATCCAATTAGCAAGCTGACACTGAATCCCATGTAATCTAACTTTACTAATCAGTCGACCATGTGGAACCTTGTCAAAGGGTTTACCAAAGTCCGTGTAAACAACGTTTACCGCTCTAGCCTCATCAGTCTTTTTGGTCAGTTCCTCAAAAAAGTCATTTGAGTTTGAGACCTGATTTCCCTCGCACAAAACCATGCTGACTATCCCTAATAATTCCTTGCTTCTCCAAATGCCTATAAACCCTATCTTTTAGAATTACCTCCAATTTACCTACCACTAATGTCAGACTCGCTGCAGATGCTGGAAATCTTAAATAAAACCAGAAAGTGGGGGAGAGATTTGGCAGCCAGGCAGCTTCTGTAGAGAGAGAAACAGTTGTTATTTTGTCAAGTGACCCTCTACCAGAACTGAAAGCAGCTAGGACAGTGATTTAGGTCGACAAAAGTAACCTGGAAAATTAATTCATTGTATTTGGGATAATTTCTTGGACCACTACATTCTAGAACCAACCGGGAAGCTATATATAACGAACAATGAGACAGGGTTAATCAATAATCTCTTGGCAAAGGAACTTCTGGATATTGGCAGTTATTACATGATAGAATTTCACATTCAGTTTGAAGGAGAAAAGTGTAAGTGACCAATGTCTTAAACCTAAACTTAAAAAAAAAGGTAATTGAAAGGATATGGGGACTGAGATTATTAAAATCAACTAGGGAAACTAGGTTGAAATGTGGACAGTAGAGATGCAGTGGCAGACTTTTAAGGAGATATTTAATAACTCTCAGCAATGATTTATCTCTGAGAATGAAAGATCTTTGAAAAGGAGATATCATCCCATAGCTGAATAATGAACTAGTGGAGATTATCAAACTGAAAGAAAGAAGCACTGTTGAAACTGCAAAGTTTTGTGGTGAGCCAGAAAATTGTTCAAATTTTAAGAAACAGCAAATGATCTTTATCTAAAAGAGGTGATAAATTGGAATGAGTGAAAAGTATCTGATAATTTCAAAACAGTAAAAATTTCTGTGAATACTTAACTTGGAAAAGAGTAACTAAAGCTAATGTTGATCCACTAGTGTGTTTGGCCTATTGACAATTGAAAATTATAAAATACTGGAGATGTTGAACAGCTTTTTTTGTCTGTCTTTGCTTAGAAGACTTTAGAAAACTTTCTGAAAATGCATGAAAGTCGA